GCTCCACTGTGCTGGAAATCCAGCGCATCGGAGCAGACTCGATTAATCAAGTCTGCGGGAGTGCGTAAATTGATACACTATGGCAGCCTCACACGTCATGTGTATCAGCAGCGCAGAGCACCTCCATGCTGAGAAAACAGTGGCAGTGCACTTTGAACTAAAATGTGTTCAATGTGCATTAGTTCAAAGTGCACCGCCACCATTTTCTCAGCATGGTTACACTGTGCTGCTGATACATGCGACACACGGGCACTTTTAAATGAGCGCTAAATTAAAAGCGCCCAGCACCATGTTGGAAACGCATGTAAAAATGCCCACTGGTTTCAAAGGGGTGTAACTTTCAGCTGAGTTAGACATGTACCTTGCCAAACAGGGGATCCTTGTGACAGCATGAGGAGTAAGCAGACTTTGCAATGAAAGGCAGGCACTTGAAAGCAAAACAAATTTAGCCCCAATTCAGCCATAGAGAAATCTAATGCTCTTGGACAGTGTATTATTACTGGTCATGTCACGTGCTTGCAGCATTTTAAAAATCAGGACATCACGACTTGCCACAGCCTAATTTGTTCTTGGGTCCATGACCTTGTCAAATAGAAGGGCAAGAGGATATAGATGTCATGGATGCAAGCTTAAAGGAATAGAGTGAGTAGTTCTAGCATTTTATTATTAGTGAAGTCCTGGCAGCTTGAAACATTCACTTTAGCAGATAGAATAATCAGCAACTGAAACAGCTTATCTTGGACTTAGACTACTCCCACATCATGTGGGATTTTTAAATCCAGATTGGATATCTTCCTAAGAGATATGCTCTAATCCAGGAATGTTCAGCCTGCCTGACAGTGGTAGTAACACTGTCAAATTTCTGGACCTATGGGAAGCCAAGTCCTACACCCAATACAGCCAGGCAAGGGTGGCACCAGGCCCCAATCTGGGTGTAGGGGGCCAGGAGGGGGCAGCATAAGGCTCCTGGGCACCAATCCTAGAATGTGAGGCAGGAGGGCTTAGATCAGGGGTAGGCAACGTTTTTTGGCCAGAAAGCTGAAAAAACCACAATGCCTACCTTGGAAGGTGCTGGAGTGCCGACATGCCAGAGCCTGGAGTAGCTGTTTGCAGCCTCCCAGCTGTAGCAGCCCATGGAGCCCAGTCTGCTTGCAGCAAGGTTTGCAGCCTCCCAGCCACCTGCTGGGAGCAGCCTGGGCTCTGCAGCTGACAGCAGCTGCCAAGACCCCGGGCTGGCAGTGGTGTGCCGAGCAAAACAGCCTTGCGTGCCACGTTCCGCACACGTACCAGGGGTCGCTGACCCCTGGCTTAGAATATCCCAGTGCACTTGAGGAGGAGGAGGCACCAGGCCTGCAGGGACCAATCCTATTATGAGGGGACAGTGCCAGGCTCCTAGTACTCAAGGCAGGGAAGCAGCAGTGCCCAATACTGACATGGGGCTCCAACTGGCCCATGGACTGGTCAGCCCCACTCATCTGGCCCATAAGGCCAAAAGGCTGAGCACCACTGCTCTAGCTCAGCCAGAAAAATGATGGGCTCAACACAGGAATTAGTTAAATTCAACAGTCACTTTTATCCTGGTCAGGCTAGACGATAATCATCTATTAAGGGCAGGAGATTGTCACCATCAGTAGAGTGTCAATGATCTTCACCACAGCAGAAATTCTTCACAAGTAATGCCAGAAATGCCACTGTTGGCAAGTAGTACTGGTCTATATGCAAACTAGCTTTAAAGTAATGAATGAGAAACAGACTTTTTCCTCCCACTCTGGGTAACATCTTATCCCTAATGTGGTGGCACTTTATGTATCAAATATCCAGTAAAGAATCCTCTCCCCTACCATACAAATCAACTGTTTCTTAGCAATGGGACCCCACTTTGATTCTCACAGTGCAAAGAAGGTGGTACAAAGCTCCTGGTCCCAGCAATCTGTCTGTTTTAGTGCAAACCACTATGACAGCTCAGCATTAGTGACAGGAAAGATCCATCTCAACAGTGCCTCCACCAGACACTTATTAGACAAGAGGTAACCAAAGCAGTGAAAATGGGGGCAAGCATTTTGAACAAGAGCAACTTTGGAGCAGGTCATCTCAGGGCTGAGCACTGTCCTGTACTGAAGGAGAATCCCAGTTTAATGTTTATAACTTGTTATGTGAATATGCCTTTAAATAAACTCTACAGCAGATGGGCATGACATTCGCTTGTCCTGATGTGTAGGCCTGCTCTTCCTCTCCCCACATGACCTCTCAGTATCAGCCAAGGGCCAGGTACAGACATTACACTTTTACCAGTATACATGATCAGAAAACAGAACAGAACAGAAGTTTGGCACACAGATTGGTTTAAAAATGGCAGAACCCAGTCTAAGATTTGTCCCCCCAAAGAACAACTGTTTCATCTGTTTGCTACTAATTTAAATTACACTGCTTACAGACAACTGCGTAACTTAGAACAATTCTGCCTCAGGCTTTCTAAATGCCTGTACCTAGCCAAAAAGTAAACACCCAGGGCTCTTGAATTTGAAGACATCTCCTGGCACTGCAAACATCCCTTCCCCACCTCAGGTTTACCATGCACTTCCCCATTCTCACACAGCCAATCTACAGAGGAGACCTGATGCTAGGATGAGCACTCAAGGAAGCAAAAAATAGAAAGGAGGACATATCAGTAGCAGAGTGGAGTACAGGCATGATTGGTTTGATGATCAACATCACTGGGATTAGTGAGCAACTCCCATCACCTGAGACTGGAGGATTAAAAACAAAACCCTTAATGTAGTAAACGTATTTCCCATATACCTGTCAGCAATAATGAAGCAAGCTTGTGTTTGTAGTGAGTACACAGGAATCACAAGCTCTGCAGCCAAGATTTTGTCTTGCCTTTTTTCAAAGTGCAAGTGCCTATGACCAGCATGGAAATCCCTGAAAAAAAATAGGGGTTACAACAACAAAGTGTTGACAAAAATGCTCCCTTAAGACGGCAGCCTAGTGGGCACAGCTATCATTACAGCAAACCTACATAATGCATCTGAACTAGCTTAGCTCTCTCCCTGAAAGCAGAGGAGCTGCCACATCAGTAACTCTGTTGCTAAGGCAACTGCTTACTTTCCATATCAACTGCAAACTTGTTGCTATGGAGATGCATATACAAGAAAAATTCCTCTCTATAGCCAAGGACCAGATGGTGGGGAAGTCAGAAAAGTCATGGGCTAGCAGGTTGTACTAAACGGGACACACTAGAGGCCATTTAATAAATCTGTGTGTTCACAATGGGATTACTCTGACCACTGAATTCACAGGTCTGGCAGTAGAAACTGAGCCAGGTAACTCCTGCACTTAGGACCAGGTGACATTTTATATGCTGACCATTATTAAAACTAAGCTCAAAAGAGGTTCTCTCCTATGAAGTACTCTGCATTTTCCCTCTGAGACACCTCACCCTCTCTCCAAATGGTCAGCATCCTAGAAAAAATACACCTTTTAATCCTGACTTGTATTGATCTAAAAAGCATTTATTAGTAAGACTAACAATGTGTCACACCATCAGCATACAGCTATCACTGCTGTTACTCCGTGTCTGAACACGTCTTGTCTTTGTACTATAGCAGATAAAAGGTCCTTTCCCACCACTCAAAACCTTCATGCAATTATACTAAAACCTGCTACTAAAACCTGCAAATTTGCATCTTTTCAAAGTTTCAGTGATGCGGCCTATAGATCCTTCTTACACACACACACACACACACACACAGCTGTGGGCAAATAAGTACAACATATTTATCCCTGAAAACAAGTCACAAAATTGAAAGGTTCAGACAAGTTGCTCCTGCTGGTCCAGTTCACATGGTACTATTTTAAGCAGTCAAGTCTCCACAATAAAGGGATCACAGGAGCAGCTTGTACCTTGAACACACAAAGTTAGAGACAGAGACAATCTGAAGGAGCTCTTGTCTAGGATATAACAGCAGTAAAAGATACTGTGAAATCTGCCAAAAAATAAAATCATGTTGACCAGTTCTACTCCTGCCAAGTTCCCCTCTGGAAAACACAGGATTCTGACTGGACAAGGAGTAAGCTCCATACCAACACTTGACAACCTGAGGCTTTTCCAAGTTATAAAAGGTCTGATATGCACACACCTTCAAGTATCCCATTCTCATTCTACCCCTGAAATCCACGTGTTCTTTGGTTGCAGATATACATCATTATAACTACTTTTAAGCAGAGATCTATTTGGCTACTTGCCAAATGCTTAACCAATGGTGCTATGCTAAACAACCTAAGAGCTAACAAAAAAAAGCTTAGAAAGAATACAAGACAGCAGTAACAGCCTTCAGACACCCACCCAGCTACAGAACTCAGTCAAGTTGTCAGCCAGGTGACACAATTAAGATGACCCTTTACTTTGTCCTTCCTTGCAACACCACATCTCTAGTCACATCAGTATAAAAAGTGACAGAGGCCAAGACTTTGCAAGCTAATATTCCAAAAGGATTCAAGAGAAGAATTAACTGCTCCACAGAACTTTTTTTTTTTTTTTTTTTAAAGAAAAAAAACAGTTATTGAGAGACTGTATAAACATAAACATTGGAAATATGGCCATGAGAGAAAAAGCTTCTAGCTGTTCACAATGTGTCAACACACATCAACTAGCAAATGCCTGCAATTCCTGAAGCTGATTAAAAAAACCCAACACACACTCCGCATGTTTTGGAGCTTGCCTTGTTAACATTTCAGGATGTGCCATTTGCTAAACTAAACTACTTTTACACACACAAATACAAACTCAAAACACAGAAAGTGCTTCACCACAAACTAAAAAGCATTGTCCTGAGTCATAACAACTCTTAAGGGGAGTTTTCAGATTCTAAAACAAGGATTTCTTCTTCTGTAATTAATTATTTGCATTTTAAACAGTCTTTGCAAGACAGTCAAAGACCTGTTTTAAGACACTCCACCCAACTCTGCAACTCCTTATACGGAAAGCTTAACAGGTAAAGCCTACTGTTTACCACGTCTACAATTTGGTGACAAAGCAGTTGAGTCAGAAGTTGTAATTAACGAGTGCCAAGTCTGCAGGTCCCAAGGCACCAAATCCCTTGCCCTAGGGCAGAGGAGAGAAACCCAGAAGGGTACTTAAGTAACCTTACTCAGCATACATTTTAAAATGGACAATGGAATCTCAATAACATTACTATTCATTACCAGCAGGGCAGCTGGCATTTTTAAGAGCTCAGAAACCAGAAGGGAGCAAGACAGCGCTATGTAGATCCTAGATATCTCAGCTTCAAGAGATCAAAATCTAGTTGCCAAAACGTATGACTCAAGACAACTGAACACCACCATACACTTTACTACATACTATGATCTCAAGCACTGAAATGTGGGCGACTAGAGAGTCAGGCATTGTGCAAGAGGAACCTCAGCTTCTCCATTTTCAAACTGACGATTACTTCTGGGACAAGACAAGCAATTACCATGAAGACAGACATACATAAAAGAAAGCTCCATTTGGCAAGGAAGTAATTATTAAAATCATCAACTCATAAACAGATGAAGAACAGAATGGGAAAAAAGCAATAATGGAATAGTTAAGCACAACTCAATTCCAATACATTTTGCATCTAAATCTATTTTGTTAGATATTTTATGGTCTACGATATGATTTAAAGGTTACAACATGTGTGACACTTCCTCTGTTTTATATCTATCTGAATGTGAAGTTCCAACTCCAATTTATTAAGTGAAATAATGCAGTTCAGAAACAACAGTAACCTTAGGCACAATCATAATATATACCTAGCTACAAATGGTAGATTATAGGGAACCCCAGCTGAAAGTCAGACTGAGAATAAAATCCACAAAAGTTAGACAGGGAGCTATCATCAGCTCCTGCAAAACATAAAACTTATTCTACTTTAGAGCTGTTGTGAATACTGTGGAAAAAGTTAACACATACCAGCAAGAGCCTAGTTTTGGAATAGTCTGTTGAGCTACAATCACAGCACATAGAAAACTAAATGAGGAACAGAGCTAAATATATTTTCTTTGCTTCAAAGAGAGGAGCGGGTGCACCTTCTAGATTTTCTATTAGCTTTATGTATATGAAAACACATTTAAGTGAAGTTATTTCACTGCTATTTCTTGCGGCAACACAGAGCGAGAGTAAACTGGAGAGACATCAGCCTGCCAATTCATACAGAAGCACCTTTGACAAGAGTTCAAACTTATCGCATGTGAAGGCTGTCGCCATTTGGAAATCAACAACTGCTCCCCGTAATGGACAGATTTGTGCAATAAGTGATACCAGGAAATAGTAATGCCACCAGGATTCTGTTCATGTTCCTTTCCCATCACCTACACACACACCCCTTCAGATACAGCTGAAGATTCAACAATGCAACCAAAGAATGTAACAATAGAGAAGACTTGGGAGCAAAAATTTGTTCTCCAAATCTCCACCACCTTGTGGAGGTCAGAGTCTGCATGGGCATAAAACAAGTACAGTTTAACTTCCAATAGTCATTTGCAGCTGCCAAACTGTATCTTCTTTCATAAAGGAGCCACTCCTGCACTGTCTGCCTTCAAACATCTAAAAGGCATGGTAAGTAAGGAAGTACCATCACTTCATCACCAAAAGTTAGAACTACTTCTAACCTCATAGAGTTTCATCAAATAGCAACTCAAATGGGGGGAAGCAGGGGGAAGGGGAGTGAGGAAAGGGGAATAGATGGAATCTTACATAAAACAAACCTCTCACTATACATTTGTATAAGCCAAAAACAGCATGCAACCTATTTATAATGATTACATTCATCTACTATAGCTGGAAACCATTAGCACAGCATGATAACTAAAAATAATATTTAACCACTATGCATGAAGACACCAGCTGAAAAGAAAAAAAACCCAACAAAAACCAACAAACTAAAGTACTTTCTTACAGATGTCTAGACAATAATTTTAATAAAGTCATCCTAGTGCTGGTTTCTTTTTTTTCACTGTAATGAACTGAAATTACTGGACAGTAAAATGCAGTTTACAGTACAATCGGGAATACATGTTAGGATTAGCAGGCAGATTTTATTAAGAACAGGTAGGTCTTAATATTCCAAGCTTACCTGACTTCTGTCCTTGTCCACTTTCTTAAAACACTTATTTAATGATAGATTATGTCTCACAGAGTTTTTCCATCCAGTGGGTGCATTTGCAAAATAGGGGAAGTGTTCTAGGATCCAGTTGTATATATCCTTTACAGGCAGTCTTTTGGTTGGCGAATCCTCAATGGCCATAAATATGAGGCAGCTAAAGGAATAAGGAGGTTTGCAGTTTGGGTTCTGCTTGGCATCATAGGGCATGTCAGAGTGAGCAGGAGATGGTGGCGTGTCATCATCAATGTCCTGAACTGGGCTAACACTTCTTAAGACAGAGTCCCCAAAGCTTTTCAGCAAGTTCTTGCTTTCATGTAACCAGTTCAAGTTAGTTAGTTCTTCATCCTCCATGGCCCCTTTATCTAATCTTATGGCAGGCAAAGTGAGATCTAGGTCCTCCTCTTCAGGAAGTGCCTTTGATAAATCACTATCCTGATAACACTGACTCAGTCCACTGGAAACACTAATTCCTGAGTCCTCTGGCTTCTTACTGGGAGGCATGACTGGACCCATTTAGACAGAGGCTCCTAGTAGATCCAAAGCAGGATGACAAGAAAAAAAAAAAAAAGAAAAAAAAAGTTAGTTAGCAAGTCAGATACACTATAACAAGAGTTTGACAGCTCTTACCCAGCCAGTAATTTGGCGTTTCATGCCCTACATAAAAAAAAAAAAAAAACACACACACACACACACACACACACACACACACAACAGAAGCACATAAACATATATTCACAATGTGAAGAAAAATCATTTAAGAGTCAGAAAAAGCAAAGAACATTTTAGTCAATGAGATGCTTCAATAATTCCAATATGTCCCATTCTGCATAATTCCTAAACTGCACACAGGTAACCCAAAACACAAATCTCTTTCAAGATAATGTGAGAAAGAAATCATCATGAAACACTGCACTTGTATCACATTAATAAAGATATAAACTTAAAAAAATTGGGAGCCTAAAGGCCAGTTGCTTCAGATTAAGTCCAGCTGCCTTAATTTTGAAGAAAACACAACAGCACTGTGATTAAGTCACTCTGGCTGTGGTTGAAGGCACAGCCAGGCAAACAGTAAATTTAAAGTATAGTCACAATTACCACCAACTTCCACAAGGTTTTTGAACAGAACTTTTTGAACGGAAATGGAAGGGTCCAGCAAGGGTCAAGATAAATGCTAAAAAAACAGGAAACTTAAAAGTGCATATAAACAGAGAGGATTCTAACATACATTGGGACATGGGAGAAATCAGAATGTAGGAGTCTTATAACACTTATATATTTAAAATCTGAGAGGAGCAGGCGGCACAATGGTAGATAGGACAGGAAGCAGAAAGCAAAACAGCAAACTGGGCAAGGAGCACAGAACAGGGAGCAGAAAGCAGAGCAGACTGGGCAAGGCAAAGGAACTGGAGTGGCACTTGGGTTAATTTTTGGTATACCTGCCAACACAGTTGGCCCCCACAGCCTTAGGAGAAGTTCAGTGACAGCAGTGCTGAAGATACTTCACCAGGGGGCCCTACAGGAAATGAGAGATCAATAATATTCCAAAGGACTTGGAACAATTAGAAGCTTGGTCAGATAAATAGTCTGTGTTATTTAACAGGAGGGTTATAGCCAACAGCAGAAGAGTAAAGCAATCTACAGAAAACAAAGCAAGCAAGAAAGCAGGGAAGGAAGACGGGAAAAACATTCAGTTTTCATACATATCAAAGCATTAGTCTACAAGGGAAACAAAAACAAAATTAAAAAGTCCAGAAACTGAGGAACATCACTTTCATGCAGTAAAATGTCTAGTATACAATAAAAACAATAACAAGATACATGAATAGTCATTATTTTATCCAGAAAAAAGACAAAGATCTGGAGGAGGAAAAATAAATAAATAATCACCAACTAAATGCTTAACCAATACAATTTACAATTCTTCCTTCCTAGAACAGTGCTTCCTAGACACTTATCTGGAAGATAAACAGGAGTATTACTTCACATGGAAGCACTGGGCACTGTTTACCTCTGCTACAAACTCAACTTTGGCTCCAAATAGAAGTTATGTCCCATGAGCTCTAAACAGGAAAATTATATCATGGCTGACAGTAACATAATTTAATTGAACTGTTGCTATGACAACATGCTGCTCTCTTTCTGTTTAATTTGCTTATTTGCCAGTATCCTCCCAAAGGGCCATATCATGCCATCCATTTCAGGCAGAATTCCTCGTTGACTTTAACAGGGTCTTTTGCTTAAAAGGTTGATGGCAAAATACAGTCCTGAGTGACTAAACACACTATTTTCCATATTCTGTTCCAGTTTAACACACAACTTGCGGGCACCACCAAGACTCACTCTTCAGTAAGTTTAAGCAACTCTAATTTGTTTTACCTATGTGGGAAGAGCCACGGCTCATGTAACAAAACGGTGAGTTTCCCACACTTTACTTTTAAACTACCTTGCAGTCAGTTCACTGCAGCAAATAATTGCTTAGCAGGGCAAGTTTGACGGAAAGGCACAGGAAGGCCCAAAAGAAGCTCTCCCAGACCTACAGAACTCTTCCCTCCCAGGGGGTTACAGCCGGGAAGGTGCCAGGTCAAATGCTCTCACCATAACCATCAGCTAAAGTCAGTGAAACCCTCAAATCTAGCTGGGGGCAAAGGGGTGTTGACAAAAGCGGTGCACCTGGCAGCGCACAGGAACACGAGTGGGCCAGCCCAGACCCCGGGTCCAGCAGAGTGCAGATGTGGAGGGTGCAACCTGAGCACGACCTGGGTGGTCCGTTCCCCCTGGCAGCGCCCCACATTTTGGGTCTGAGAAGCCCGGATTCAGAGACCGTACGCCTCATGCCCCTGCTCAACAGCCACTGGTGCCCCCGTCCTCCCGCCAGTCCCTACTAGCACCTAGTCTGCCCGCGGCCACCGCATGCGGGGTCTCAGCTCCCCTGAAGGACGCGCTGGGGGAGAGCTGGTCCTTGTGCCAGGGCAGGCTCGCGGCCCTGGAGGGGGGGCAGGGTTC